GAGTCAACCTTGGCTCTTTGATGACTCGTGGACTTCAGCTCCCAGAATTCCTGAGCCAGCATGGCTCAGCTTGGAAACCTCTCCCTTTTCCCTCAGGATGGCTGGCTGAGGAATTCTGGGAGTTGAAGTCCACGAGTCATAAAAGAGCCAAGGTTGACTACCCCTGGTCTAGAACAAGAAGCCCAGGCTGGCCCCATCATCACAGCAGGAGAGTTTTTGACCAACCGATCCTCAAAAGTTGGGTCAGTTTGAGGAGATCCACACGGGGCTGCCCTTGAAGACTGTTCAGGGGCTTAGCTGGTGCAAAATACAGTAACAAAAAAAGGAGAATGTTTGCAGCTCAGGGTTGAAATGAGGGCTCCTTGGTGCTCTCTGGACGTGGCAGTTTTCTTGCTGACGTTTCATGATCCAACTAGGTAACATCATCAATGCTAGAAGGAAGTGAATGTTTGGAGAGGAGGAAGAGGAGGAGGAGGAGGAGGAGGAAGACTGTGGGGTGTTTGGTATTCTCTGAGCTTGGTCGTTTTTTGTTTGTTTTTTGATTTGCAGACCAGGGGGTTTCCTCTGTTTATATTCAAATGGCTTGTTCTGTGTTAGAGGGAGTGTTATTTTCTTTCTGTTGTTTACAAGGACAAATTAGGTATATAAACAGGGAGGAAAAACCCCACTCCCTCCTAGCACTGAAGATGTTACCTATTTGGGTAATTAAATGTCTGCAAGAAAAAAGCCAAACTCAGAGTATCAAGGATCCTTCAGTTCTCCTCCTCCCCCTCCCCCTCCCCCTCCTCCTCCTCCTCCTCCTCCTCCTTCCTCCCTCCTAGCACTGAAGATGTTACCTATTTGGGTAATTAAATGTCTGCAAGAAAAGAGCCAAACTCAGAGTATCAAGGATCCTTCAGTCCTCCTCCTCCCCCTCCTCCTCCTCCCTTCTAGGACTGATGAGGTTACCTGGCTGTGTAATGAAATATCTGGAAGGAAACAACCCAATTCAGAGAGCCCCAAAGACCCCACCGTTCAACCCTGAACTAGAGATATTCTCCTCTGTAGATGTAAATAAGTATCCGTGACAAAAACACCCCACTTTTTGTGCCTGTTACAAAACATCGCTCCGATAGTGATTCTGCCTTCTTAGCATTATTTCTCAGGACTCAAAATGAGTCAAGAGGCTCAACCAGGAAGCATGATTAAGATTTCAGTGATGCTCAGCTAAATGCGATAATCCGTTTTGGAACTTGAGGCACTCAAAGTTAGCAAAAGCTGCCCTCCTAGTCTGATGTATGAAAATCTGCATTGTGTGTGTGTCTACCTGAGGGATACATCAAAGCCAGATCCAGGCTAAGTCAGCTTGGTTCTTAACATAATGCAGGCCCTTTGATTAAGTCACCCCATTAAGTCTTTGCTTCCCCGAAATGCAAAATTTGTTCCAGAAGAACCGGCTTTCTTTCCATCCCTTTTCTTTAGAGGGGGATTTTCCCCTCCCAACATATTTTCCTCCTCCTTCTGTTGTTGTTGTTTTTTAAATTAGCAAAGTATATTGCAAGACACAGACAAGGCAGCAGTAAAACCTAGCACAGTGAAAACGTAAGGTAGTCCTCTTTTAACAACTGCCTCATTTAGCAACTATTCACGTTTAATTTTTTTAATATAGATTTTATTAGTTTTTATAGGGGTTAGGGATAAGGTGGGGTTGGGGTTGGGGTTTTCCAAATAACATTTTCAAACAGCATAATGTCTGGGTACACGTATTTAACTAACATTAATAGACATAGTTAATTATCATAAACATTATGTTAATTAAACACTCAATAGCCTTCTTCTTGCTAATATATATTCAAAATTACAAATTGCATTCCTTTCTCTCTGACTCGTCTTTCTAGCCATTGATAGAAATTATCCCATGTTCTAAAGCAGTGTTTCCCAAACTTGACAATTTTAAGGTGTGTGGACTTCAACTCCCAGAATTCCACAGCCAGCAATGCTGGCTGTGGAATTCTGGGAGTTGAAGTCCTCATGCCTTAAAATTGTCAAGTTTGGGAAACACTGTTCTAAAGTACACTGAGTCTTCTTTCTTTTTTATCTTTACAGTCAATCTATCCATTTCTGCACACTCTAGCATTTTCTTTTTTTAAATTTTTTTATTAAGTAAACATTTAAAAAGAGGTTGAAGTCACAGTGTGACTTTTCTGGTTGTTATTTTGCCATACATACTATATTATATATCATATGTCTCCCTATTAATTGATCTTTTATACCCTTTACATATTGCATTTTATACTGTGTATACATTTACATACATATTTACGTCTATTTATAACATAACTTCCATTTCCATTCTTATCTCGTATTCTAATCTCTATCTTACGCTCACTTTGAGGTTGGAAATCTACACTTTCTGTCTTCTAGACGAGCTTTCTCTGTTCTGACTTTTTCTCCTCGAGGCTAACCAATAGTACATCTTATCCCAAACTTCGTAATACTGTTTCATCCTTGTCTTTAATTTATTAATAATAATAATGATAAAGTTGGAAGGGACCTTGGAGGTCATCTAGTCCAACCCCCTGCTCAGGCAGGAAACCCTATACCATTTCGGACAAATGGCTGTCCAGTTTCTTCCTAAGAACTTCCAGTGTTGGCGCATTTCTAAGGATAATCTATCCATCTCTGCACATATCAAAAAAAATTAATTAGTTCCAGGGCTTTTTTTTCTCATAGAACGCCCAGAACGGAGTTACGGCACCTTTTTTGGATGGAACCTTGTAAGATAGGGGAGGCGGGTTGTATGACATGCGTGAGTTCCGGCACTTTTTTTTTTTTTTAGAAAAAAAGCACTGATTAGTTCACTCTCCACCGGGGGAATTTCTGTTTTTCCAGTTCTGGGCATACACCAACCTTGCTTCTGTTATGATATGCAACACTAAATATGTCTCTCCTTTGTTAAACTTTCCATCTGTCATTCCCAGTAAAAACAATTCTGGTCTAGAATCTATCTTCAGTCCCAATATTTCCTCCCACCAAGTCTTTATTAGCCACCAAAATTCTTTGGCTTTGGAACAAGTCCACCACATATGATAATAAGTGCACTCTAGCATTTTGTTAATTAGTACTTCTTCAGCTAGTAAATTTTCATTTTTACAATGTTGGGCAAATACAAGTCTTGCTGCGGTTAATATGTGTAGTATTAGATATCTGCAATCTTTCTCATAATTAGCTCCTGTTATTCCTAACAAAAATAATTCTGAGGATGGGTGGGTGGGTAAATGGGTGGGTAAGGATAATATAGATATAGTAGTTTATGAGAGAGGTGCTGCTTGGGCATTTCTCCTATGCTGCGTTCCTGTGTTTGAGAGGGATGAGAGGGGAAGAAGGTGCAGGGAGGAAGTAGGATGGTAAGAGGAGAAGGGGAGGGGAAGAGAGTTGGAGGGGAGGAGAGAAAGAGGAGGGAAGTAGGGAAGGTATTAGAGAGGGTGGACGCAGCCTGGGGGGAATGGAAGCGGCACCAATGGTTATGAATTTGTCTTATCTTGTAAATTGTATTAGGTTGAATAAATGGAAAATAAAAACTTTTTATTAAAAAATAATTCTGAGCAACTATTCACGTTTATGACGAGAAAAGAAAAACAGTTTTGCAACCAGTCCTCATATTTATGACTTTCACGGGTCTGTAAAGCCAAGGAGAGCTGAAGTAAGATCGTAAACACAGTTGTGGTTTCACTTAAGGACTGTTTTGCTTAACAACCAAGTTGCAGGTCCCAATTGGCCTGCGTTACAAAAATTGAAAGTCCGTTTGGAGTAGTGGTTCAGGCGCTTCCGGGAGTGGTGAGAAAGTGGGAGACGCTGAATTCTAAACCTGCCTTAAGCACAAAGCCAGCCAGTTTGTCTCTGCCCTAGGATGGAGGCATTGGCAAACCCCGTTCTGAGAAACACTGCTAAGCAAACTGCAGGAGGAAGTCGCCGAGAGCCGAAACTGATTGGAAGACACAGATTTTAAAAATTTCAAAAATTTAAAATAAATTAAAATGGGATAGGAACGACGAGAAGAGTCCATACAATAGGCGTATAAAATTAATCTGGTCTTTAATCTTTCTATTACATCTGGACTGCATAGATAGATGTTCCTATCCATGTATTTTTATAACATAAAGGCTTTTCCATAGTTGCAGGATTTGCAACGGTTGTAAGGAAGATTACGAAACTGCAGACTGAGAAATAATGTTAATATTAGAGGGGATGCAATGAACTGATATGGATTGCGATAATTTTATGTATTTGTTTGTATCCGGCCTTTTTTTATTTTTATAAATAACTCAAGGTGACAAACACACCAAATACACCTTCGTCCTCCTATTTTCTCCACAACAACAACCCTGCGGGGTGGGTTAGCCTGCGAGAGAGACCCAAAATCACCCAGCCAGCTGTCATGCCTAAGGCAAAATTAGAATTCACAGTCTCCTGGTGATTGGCCCAAAGTCACCCAGCCGGATTTAGGGCCTAAGGCGGGACTAAAACTCAACATCTCCTGGTGATTGGCTCAAAGACACCCAACTGACTTTCATGCCTAAAGTAGGATTACAACTCACCGTCTCCTGGTGATTGGCCCAAAGTCACCCAGCCAGCTTTAGGGCCTAAGGCGGGACTAGAACTCACAGTCTCCTGGTGATTGGCCCAAAGTCACCCAGCCAGCTTTCATGCCTAAGGCGGGACTACAACTTACAGTCTCCTGGTGGTTACCCAAAGTGATCCAGCTGACTTTCATGCCTATAGTGGGACTAGAATTCACAGTCTCCTGGTGACTGGCTCACCCAGCTGGCTTTCATGCCTAGGGTGGGTCTATAACTCACAGTCTCCTGGTTTCTATCCTGATGCTTTAATCACTAGACCAAACTGGCTGGCTGTTTGAATTTTGCTAAAGTCTACCATTGCAAATAAGTGTTTCAGTACAAAGGCATTTGAGGAATGGACAACTGTCTTCTGACAGGGTGACTTTTTGATTTTATAACCAGAGGCAGATTATGTAGCAATCAGGAACCACTTTATGGAAGCCCGGCCTCAACTCCCGGCCATGTTCATTGCTACCCCGAAAGACCAACAATTGTCACTGTGGACCAGAGAGAAGCCATCACCTCAGGTATGTCGAGCTGAGGCCACCTTACCTGGGCAGTGTCTTCCCTTCTCTGCTTCTCGTTGTGAATCAGACCAGCTGTTGGAAGCCTCTGTTGGCAGTGATGAATGAAAGGTTGGGTTTAAAGACCTGTCTTTCATGTCACCAAAGTCATTTTGGGCAAGTGGTCTCTTGTCCTCACTTGGTTGCCAGAGAACTGAAGTGACATCTCATTGCCTGCTCAGCTTTGTGCGGTCCTTGGTGCTCTCTGAGCTTGGTGGTTTTCTTAGAGACCGTTCATTACCCAACTAGGTAACAACATCAGTGCTAGATGGGAGAGGAGGAGGAGGAGCATGGACTCAGATGATCTCTGAGCTTAGTGGTTTTCTTGCAGATGTTTCATGACCCAACTAGGTGACACCATGAATGCTAGAAGGGAATGGGGTTTGATGAGAAGGAGGAGGAGAAGGAGGACAACGAGCTTGGAGGTTTTCCTGTGGACGTTTCATTACCAAACTACATAACCTCATCAGGGCTCGAAGGGAGTGGGGTTTGCTCTCTGTTTATGTAGTGGTAGCTTGGCCTGTCAGTGTTGGTGGGACTTCTTAGTAGTTCCTTAATTGGGCTATTATTTATTGAGTTGGTAATCAACCAAAAATAGCCAGCAAACCTCGCTCCTTTTTTAGCGTTGATGATGTTTCCTAGCTGGGTTATGAAATGTCTGCAAGAAAGCATCCAAACTCAGAGAGCACCACGGGCCCTTCATTTCAACTCTGAGTTACAAATACTCTCTTTTGTTGCCACTCAGCTTTCAACTCAGTGTTGAAAACGCTGAGCTGAGAGATAAGATAAATACAGAGAGTCCTCGGATTATGACGGTAATTGGGACTGAAATTTCCACCGCTCAGCGATGTGTTTGCAAAACTCGTGTCCCGTAACCACATTGATTAGTGATGGCAAGCGCACCGCACAGTAAGCATAGAGTCAAGTGATGCTTAAACTTAGGACCGCAGTGACTTAACGCTGGGATGAATTATCGTCGTAAGTCGAAGACCACGTGTGCAACAAAGAGTACAGATAGTTCTCGACTTACAAACATTTGTTTTGTGACCATTCAAAGTTACAACATCGTAGAAAAAAGGGACGGATGACCGTTTTTCAGACTTACACCCGTTGCAGCATCCCCGTGGTCACATGATCAAAATTCGAGACAGCTTGGAAACTGGCATGTACTTACGACGGTTGTAGTATCCCAAGGTCATATGATCACCTTTTGCAAACTTTGGACAAGCAAAGTCAAGGGGGAAACAAGTTCCACCTAAGAACCACGCTACTAACAACTATAGTGACTCACTTAACAACCAGGGCAGGCGAGGTTGTAAAACGGGACAAAACCCCCTTAACAAAGGTCTCGCTTAGCATCAGAAATGTTGGGCTCCATTGTCAGAAGGCCACAAAGGGGGATCACATGACCCCGGATCACTGCAACCGTCCTATATATAGAGCCAGTTGCCAAGGATCTGAATTTGTATCACGCGACCACGGGGATGCTGCAGTGGTCATTAAATGTGAAACATAGTCGTAAGTCACTGTAATTTTGAACGGTCACTAAACCAGTGGTTGGAAATTGAGGACTGCCTGCCCTCGCCTTGCCTGGTTGACCTCTCCTTCCTCTTCCCTTCTTCAGATCCTCCAGCGCCTGCTTGTGCTGGCCCAAGAGTCCCTTCAGGTGTTGGACAAGCAACTTATGGATCCGCTCGGGACCCAGGACCTGAAGGTGAGTTCCTCAAGAGGGCCCAAGATCCTTTTCACCGGAGGTGGACCTCCCCGGTATGACCAGGCCCTACTTTGAAGTCCACTGTTATCACTCAAGCTGGGGGAAATTGGGATGGGCCAACTCACCACGGGACAATTTAACAATTCAATTTATTGATTTAAAATGAATTTTTAAAAAATCGTTTTAATTTTTGTCATTCACGTTTCATTCTGTCCCTCCTTTTTCATCCTTCCTTTAATGGTTCTGTTCCACCATTTCTTTGATATTAGTGTAACTCTTTTCCCCCGGCGAATTGACCATGGTGAGTTGTTTTGTGGTGAGTTGGCTGTGCCAAGTTGTCCATGGCAAGTTGGCTGCGGTGAGTTGTCTTGTGGTGAGTTGTCTGTGGCAAATTGTCCGTGGTGAGTTGTCTTGTGATGGGTTGTCTGTGGCAAGTTGTCCGTGGTGAGTTGGCTATGACAAGTTGTCCTTGGTGAGTTGTGGCAAGTTGTCCGTGGTGAGTTGTCTTGTGGTGAGTTGTCCATTGTGAGTTGTCTGTGGCGAGTTGTCCATGGTGAGTTGTCCGTGGTGAGTTGTCTGTGGCGAGTTGTTTGTGGTGAGTTGTCTGGCAAGTTGTCCATGGTGAGTTGTCCATAGCAAGTTGGCTGCAGTGAGTTGTCTTTTGGTGAGTTGTCCATGGTGAGTTGGTGGTGGTGAGTTGTCTTGTGGTGAGTTGTCCATGGTGAGTTGTCTGTGGCAAGTTGTCTGTGGTGAGTTGTCTGTGGTGAGTTGTCTGGCAAGTTGTCCACGGAGAGTTGTCTTGTAGTGAGTTATCCGTGGCAAGTTGTCCGTGGAGAGTTTTCCTGTGGCAAGTTGACTGTGGTGAGTTGGCCATGTGAGTTGTCTAGCAGTGAATTGTGTGTGGCAAGTTGTCCGTGGAGAGTTGTCCTGTGGTGAGTAGTCCGTGGCAAATAGCCATAGCTGCAGGGAAATATTTCAGAAGATGGACTCAAGATTCAGAAGGTTTTCGACAGACTCAAGCATTGGGCACTATTGAATGAAATGCAGACCTAATTGGTGAGAAGAGTGGGATTTTACACTGAGGCAAGGAAGGCCAAATGCAGAGGTAGAACATAGGAGGTACCTGGCTCAATAGTAGTAACTGTGAGAAGGTTTTAGGTATCCTAGTAGTGGACCCCCGCTTAACTACGAGCCAGCCGTGCGCTGCAGCTGCCAAAAAAAACCTACTGTTCCAAGTTACAACACTGAAAAAGTGACTTTTTATGACCATTTTTCACCCAATCATTGCAGCATCCCCATGGTCATGTGATCAACTTGGCAACTGATTCGTATTTATGACGGTCGCACTGTCCCGGGTTCATTTGATTCCCTTTTGCGGCCTTCTGACAAAATCAGTGGGGAAAGCTGGATTCGCTTAGTGACCACATGCTTTGCTTAACAACTGCAATGACTCACTTCACACCTGTGGCAAGAAAGGTCGTAAAACGGGGCAAAACTCACTTAACCGTCCCGCTTAGCAACAGAAATTTTGGGTTTAGTTGTGGTCGTCAGTTGAGGACCGCCTGTACTGCAATCAACTCAACGTGTTTTTCTTGACGACATTAGGGGTGAAGATTTATAAGGATCCTTTTTATTTGGGAGAAATTCTTTTGCGTATTTCTTTATAAGGTAGGCTGTCTTTGGTCTTAGTGGCACCTGTTGTTGGTGTGTGTGTGTGTGTGTGTGTGTGTGTGTAAATATTCCCCAAAGAGATGGGATGGAACACAAAAAGCAAACACAGCAATGGCAGACTAGATTTGCTTTGGTTTGATTTAAAGTTAATTAAAATCAGATTGCAGTGATCCCAATGTGTATTTTTATTTCCACTGACATACTAAACAGTAAGCTTGATGGCGCTCTTCTTGAAACTTCAGACTTTCCATCCTTGCTACACAAACAGGCCAGTGATATTAAACATAATCTCTGCCTGCCGTCTCAGTTAAATGGGCTGTTTTTCATGGCTTAATTAAATTTAGAAGCTGTTGTGTTTCTTTCCAGCTGTTGTAACATATACGTCTATTTCAGATGCTGGCATAAAGATTCTTGAGGTTAGTAACAGCTCAAAGAGATATTTATTGTTGCAAATGTGAGGAAGAAAAGAGGAAAATTTAGGTTGTTATGAACCTCTTAGAACTGTGCGGTCCTTGGTGCTCTCTGAGCTTGGGTGTTTCCTTGCAGACGTTTCATGACCCAGCTAGGTAACATCATCAGTGCTAGAAGGGAGTGGGGTTTATAGAGTGGAAGAGAAAGAAGAGGACGATAACTGTGGGGTCCTTGATGCTCTCTGAGCTTGGTGGTTTTCTTGTAGACGTTTCATGACCCAACTAGGTAACCTCATCATCAGTGCTAGAAGGGAGTGGGGTTTGCAGAGAGGAGGAAGTTGTGCATGTTTCATTCCCAACTAGATAACATCATGGTTGAGAGAGAGTGACTGCCCGAAGTCCCCTATCCAGCTTGTGTGCCTAAGGTGGGACTAGAACTTACTGTCTCCTGGTCATTGGTCCAGAGTCTCCCAAGTGATTTTCAATGTCACACAGAACTAGAACTCGTATTCATCTGATGATATTCAAAGTCATCCAACTGGTCTTCATGCCTAAGGCAGAACTAGTAGTAGTAGTAGTAGTAGTAGTAATAGTAATAATAATAATAATAATGATGATGATGATGATGATGATGATGATGTTGAAAGGGACCTTGGAGGTCATCTAGTCCAACCCCCTGCTCAGGCAGGAAACCCTATACCTTTTCAGACAAATGGCTGTCCAGTCTCTTCTTAAAAACTTCCAGTGTTGGAGCATTCACCACTTCTGGAGGCAGGTTGTTCCACTGGTTGATTGTTCTAACTGTCAGGAAATTTCTCGTTAGTTCTAGGTTGCTTCTCTCCTTGGTTAGTTTCCACCCATTGCTTCTTGTGCTGCCTTCAGGTGCTTTGGAGAATAGCTTGACTCCCTCTTCTTTGGGACGGCCCCTGAGATATTGGAACACTGCTATTATGTCCCCTCTCGTCCTTCTCTTCATTAAACTAGAGATACCCAATTCCAGCAACTGTTCCTTATATGTTTTAGCCTCCAGTCCCCTATTCATCTTTGTTGCTCTTCTCTGAACTCTTTCTAGAGTCATCTGATTTGATCAAAGTTGCCCAATTGGCTTTCAAGACTAATGTAGGACTAGAACTCACCATCTCCTGGTGATTGGCCCAAGGTTATCCAGCTGTCTTTCGTTTTAACACGGAACTAGATCTCACCGTTGCCTGGTGGTGTTCAGAGTCACCCAACTGGTTATCATGCTTAAGGTGGGAGTAGAATGCACGGTCGCCTGCTGACTGGATCAAAGTTGCCCGGTTGGCTTCCAGGACTAAGGCAGGATTACAACTCAGCATATCTTGCCATAAGAACTAGACCAGGGGTAGGCAACCTCGGCTCTTTTATGACTCATGGACCTCAACTCCCAGAATCCCTGAGTCAGCTATGCTGCTATCTGAGCTATGCTGACTCAGGAATTCTGGGAGTTGAGGTCCATGAGTCATAAAAGAGCCGAGGTTGCCTACCCCTGAACTAGACCAAAAGGGCCCTAGTAACAATATATATAACTTTGGGCCAAGCAGCAGAGGATGATGAGTTCTGGTCCTGCGTTAGTCATGTGAGCCGATTGGTCAGCTTTGATCCAATCAGCATGTGACTGAATTCTAGGTCTGCCGTCGGCATGAAAATCAGTTGGATGTCTCTGAACATTGCCAGGCAACTGTGAGTACTAGTTCCATGTTACAATGAAAGGCAGCTGGGTGACTTTGGGCCAATTACCAGGAGATGGTGAGTTCTAATCCCACCTAGGAATGCAAGCTGGATGAGTGACTTTGGGCCAGTCACTCTCTCTCAACCATGAAGTTACCTACTTGGGAATGAAATAACTGCAAGAAAACAACGTCCTTCTCTCTGCAAACCCCACCTCCTTCTAGCACTGATGAAGTTATCTATCTGGGTCATGAAACAAGCTCCGACAGCACCAAGGAGCCCATAGTCGTCGCCCTCCTCCCCCTCCTCTTCCTCCTCCTCATCACCCCTTCTAGTATTGATGATGTTACTTACCTGGGTCATGAAACAACCAAGCTCCGACAGCACCAAGGAGCCCACAGTCCTCCTCCTTCTCCTCCTCCTCCTCATCATCATTATCATCCCTTCTAGCACTGATGATCTTACCTATCTGGATCATGAAACAACCAAGCTCAGAGAGCACCAAGGAGCCCACAGTCCTCCTCCTCCTTCTCCCCCTCACCTATCTATCTGTCTGTCTGTCTATCTATCTATCTATCTATCTATCTATCTATCTATCTATCCATCCATCCATCCATCCATCCATCCATCATATATCTATCCATCCATCCATCATTATCCATCCATCCATCCATCCATCATCTATCCATCCATCTATCATCTATTCATCCATCCATCTATCTATTGTATCTATCTATCTATCTATCTATCTATCTATCTATCTATCTATCTATCTATCTATCTATCTATCTCTATCATCTATCTATCTATCCATCTATCCATCTATCCATTCATCCATCATCTAGCTATCCATCCATCCATCTATCTATCCATCCATCCATCCATTATCTGTCTGTCTGTCTATCTATCTATCTATCTATCTATCTATCTATCTATCTATCTATCTATCTATCTATCTATTTATCTTTGTGGCTGCCTAGGAAAAATTGGTGGAGATTCACCCGCTGCAGATACCGTGGAGAAAAACATTGAGGAATTCTCAACAAATCACAGCTCCAGTGTAGTCCCAATGTCTGACTGGAATGCAGAAGATAGAGAATGGATAAAGTTGGAGTCTTAAGGAGATTTAAATTGAATAAACACAGCAGACAGATTAATAGACTTTAATGAAGGTTCTTGGTTTACGGCCAGCTTTGCTTCAGGTACAGAAAGGAAGACAAGATCTAAAAA